CCACCGAAAATCAATGGCTTGGTATTATTTCCTAGGGACTGAAAAATGATTTTCTTCCATTTCTTCCTCATTTATTAACTGGGATGCTATTAATACTAAGGTTTATACTTATCTAAAATGAAAGCATACATTTCCCATTTCTGTTTTGGCCATGATATGTTAGACAGCATATATTTTTTCAACCTACATATTTCATTAAAATCTATTTTACTGAGATTATTTGCTTTAATAAATAACTACTCAGATTTCTGTAAAACAACAACAACTGGAAAACACCATTCAGAAACCTTCAAAGAGTGGTGAAGGACTGGTCCACAGCACACCACTCAAGTTCAAACCTAAGTTTGCCACTTGTGAGCTCTAAGACTTAGGTCAAAGCTTTTCATCTTCTCACCCTGTTTTTTTCATCTATAACATGGAGATAATAAAGCCTACATTATAGTTTTTACGAGAATTCATGATAAAGTATGCAAAGAGTATGTTTCAGTGTCTGACAAATAGTAGATACTCAGTAAGTTGTAATCACTACTAGTTTCATCATGGTTTTCCCCCACACCAAGCACAGTGCCTGGCAAACTGCAGCTGCTCAATCAATATCAAGTGAATAACTTCAGGGATGACTGGCTGTACTTTGTCTCAAGCTGATGGTGGCTTTAATAGTTCAAGATACTGGGAATATAGAAGTGAACAAAACAAAATCTCCATTCATGTACTCACATTTAATTGGCTGTAGGAATGGAAAAGGGCATGATTTGCTCCCAGGTTCATTTATCCCAGTCAGCTATTTTGAAAATAAGTACTACTGGTAAGCCACGGTTGAGGAACATTTTACTTCTACTCTTTAAAAACTTCTCTTTTGGGGAAATTCCTGGGAAGAAGGCATCATTACTCAGATATTAAAAATATCTTACCGTATGTTCCCCACATGGGCTTCAGTATACTAAACGTACCTCAGTGCCTTGAACTATATCTACAGAGAGGTAAGAAGACATCAATTTTCTCCAAAGGAAAGATGTACCAGCATTGCTATCACCTTGACTTGGCCTGAGGTGCTTTGAGGGTTCACTCGGTGTACTGAGTTAAACTGTGTCCGTTGAAAAACAGGCTGATGTCTGCTACAGTTTGGATGTTTGTCCTCTCCAAATCTCACACTGAAATTGGATCCCCAGTGCTGAAGGGGGGTGGCTAATGGGGGATGTATGGGTAATGGGGCGGATGCCTCATGAATAGATCAATGCCCTCCAGGGGGCAAGTGAGTTTTCATTCTATTAGTTCCCACCAGAGCTGTCTGTCAAGAAAAGCCCGGCACCTCCCCTCTCACTCTCTCACAGCCTCTCTCACCATGTGACTTTTGCGCATGCCAGCTTCCCTTGTGCTTCCTACCATAAGTGGAAGCAGCCTGAGGCCCTCAACAGATGCAGATGCCAGCACCATGCTTCTTGTACAACCTGAAGAACCATGAGCCAAATATCTTTTTCTTTATAAATTAACACAAAATGGACTATGATGTCCAAGTCCTACTTCCCAGAACCTATGAATGTGACTTCATTTGGAAATAGGGTGTTTACAGACGTAATCAAGTGAAGACGAGGTCATATTGGATTAGGGTGAACCCTAAATCCAGCCACTGGTGTCGTTATAAGAAGAGACATAAAGACACAGGGGAAAACATCATGGGAAGATGGAGACAGAGACTGGAGTTACACTGCCACAAGCCAAGGAAAGCCAAGGACTGCCAGCAACTAGGAGAAAGCCCACTGGCATGTTGACTTTGGATTTCTAGCCTCCAAGACTGTGAGAGAATACATTTCTGTTGTTTTCAGTCATCCAGTTTGTGGTAATTTGTGACAGCAGCCCTAGGAAACTAAAACATACAGTGAACTCAGACCAAAAGTATGGATCAACCAGCCTACCTACGGCTTAAACCGTTTAGTGGGAAAGACAGAGAAGGGGTGGGGGAAATCCTAGACAGGAGAACCTGAGTCAGCTTTAATTTGTCTTAGACCAGCTGGGCCCACAGCCGACTCTTCAAAGCTGCACAGGTACCAACAGGTAAGCCTGCTTTACCTGAAAATCAGGCGGGCAGAAACCACAGGACTTGTTGGCGCTGATATGTTAGGAATGAAAATGCCCTTTGTAGGGTAAGGGTAATCTTCCTCCACGGGAGGGAGAGGGGGAATATTAACACCATCCCGTGTTGGGGGAGAAGTACTTTATCCTAGATATCCACCTGTCTATCCTGTCGTATCTCAGGGAGGCTCTATGGCCTAATAAAAACATCTGCACACTCTGACGTGGGATGCTCCTTAGCACTCCCCGGTTATTCAACCATGCCAAGCCTCAGCATACCACCACCTCCTCTCGGCACTGTGAGAAGAATTCAAGGCAGTAAGGCAGTGGAGAACCTGGCATGTGAGAGGTGCTGGTCTGGCACCCTTTACAAAGCCGTATCTGGATACTTGTGATGGTAAACAGTCGTGGTGACCACTCACAAACACTCCCCTTGTGTACTAGGCACTGAGCTGGACACTGTAGAGACTCAGTTATGGTCTTTGATAAATGAACTGTGTAAGGGCTTTAGGATTTAGAGATGGTGTCTTTTTTCTTTCTTAAAATTTCATTTACATTATGGTAGTGTTTTATAATAAAATGTCTTAAAATTCTGATCTAATATTTTTAAAAAGAAGTGGGAAAAGCTGTCACATATTTATTAAAAATGTATTTTTTACAACATGGCTCAATTGTTCAGCAAGGCACAGCTGAATCTTGCCAAAGCACCAAGAGAGCCAGTGTCCACCCTCAAATTTCCCCTCACCCACACTGCACTCCAACACTGTCAGTAGCACACGATTTAGCACTTAATTGGTGGCTAATTATTGCAGGTGTGCTAGTTTTATTTTCCTAGCTTAGCTCCCTCAGGGCAAAAATTACCTCCTTTCACACCATCTATTAGCACCTACTCAGAAGTCCTGCATGACCAAGAATTAGCTGGCCTTACAGTCAGGACTATGCAATAGACTTCTCTCTACCTTTCTGGAGAACGAGCCATAACAAGCTGCTTAGTGATTAAGTTAGAGAAAGGAATGAAGCAGAAGAGACTATGACTAAGAGCTGTGCTCACATTTGGGGTCTGCTAAATAATTTCCCATTGGTCCACTCTGAAATGGCACCACCAAAACCATGGGGCAAAACATGCAGGTGGTACTCAGCTATCCAGCTATGGGTCAAAAGCACCTGAGAAACCGGTGTATATGTGTGCAGGCTTGTGTGTGCACGTGCAGCGGCATGTATACATACCTCAAGGCTAAAGCAATTCAAGCTTTTCTCTTCCTGAGATAAAAAACCAGCCTTTCTCAGTGACTGCTAGACTGTATTATTTCTTTATGACTGCCACAGATGCTTTGGGTACTTGCTGGAAGCAAGAAAGAGACTTTAGCCCCATGTGTCTTTGGAAACCGTGGATAGAAGAATTATGCGCCAGACACTGCGCTAACTTCTTTACATTTGTTCTTTTAATTATTCCACTCAGAGGTTCTAGGGGGTTGGACCAACCCCATTTCACTGGCTGGAAAACTGCCTAGAAAAGGCAGAGCCAGGACTGGATCTGATGTGTCAGTGACTCCAGCACAGACTTCTGCATGACCACAGTTCAATACTATTGGGAGGGAGGGGACAGAGCCACGAACCAGTATCAGGCAAAGTGTTGTTAGACCCTAGACATTTTCCTCCCATACCCTCATCCGCTGCCCACCAATAGAAACAATGAACTTTCACTGGAGACCCTCAAATCGCTTCACAAAGAAGGCCTCTAGGCCTAAATCCAGCCATGGATAGAGGGGGGAAAAGAGAGACCCATACTGAAGCCGTTGGACTTGGGTTAAAAGCTGCATTGTCCCTCCTCTCCATGCAGAGCAGCTAATTGAGGTTAGAGCCATAGAAACCAAACAAAAGGCTCTGAGGGGCCCACACATCCTAGCCTAACTGCTGCCAACCACTGTGGGAAGGGCCAGAGGAAGCCCTGCTCGCCCTCATTCCTCAACAGTTTAATGAAGATTTGGTCTGTCATCTTCCCAGGGAACAAACTCCTGCGTGACTGTCTGAGAGAAACTGATTTTTATTCTCAAACAAAACAGTGGATTCTCCTTTAAAGCCAGAAGTCGGCAATAAAATGGTCCATAAACATATTTATGGGGTTATAACCCCCTCAGACTAGGCACTTGAATTTCTCTCCCAGCCCCTGGGCCTGCCAAAACCAAATTCCTGGAGAAGTTCCTGGGCATCATGGCTGGGGAGCGGTGGGAAGGTCGGCAGAGGCTGGGGGCCTCCCTGAGCCGCTGCCACAGATGGGCACTTTTCGGGCCAGATCGTCCATGGTCTCTGAAAGTTATGAGGTTATTCACCCAACACCATCTATCAGCAAATGAGGATATCCAGCTTGCTTTGTACGTTCGGGATGATTCTGAAAAAAGTCACACTTGCATTTCAAAATCTCTAAGATTTTATCACATAAATGACACACAAAAAAGCAAAATTTTTTATGCATCATAAAGCAAGGATTACCTTTGAGCCGGCAAAGAAAAACCCAACCATTTTCTTTTTAGACTTATTTTACTTCTACTCTTTAAAAACCTCTCTTTGGGGGATAGAAATTCCTGGGAAGAAGGCATCATTACTCAGATATTAAAAATATCTTACCGTATGTTCCCCACGTGGGCTTGAGTATACTAAACCTACCTCAATGCCTTGAACTTACTGTCATCTACAACTTTTTGCCATTTCCATAGAATTAAATTGACAAGCAGACTATGTGGGACTGAGGACTTTAGCACTTTTCAAACAGGGAAGAAGTTGTCATATGATAAAAAGGTTAGATTTGTTCTTTATGGATTCAAGACATTGTCATAATAACTATAATAATTACAATAATAATAATAAATTGTTGGAAGAGCTGACATCTATCCATTAAGCATATTTATTATATCGGTCATTATTTTAAGAGCTTTTTTTTTCCACATGAAAGTTTTTAGTTTATTAACCTTCCTGTGAAAAATCCACAATGGCCACAGATAACATCATTGCAATGCCTTTACCCCTTCAGCTGTGATCCAGTCTCCAGCTCACTGCTAGACACTTCATTTCTTTTTGGCGACACGAACATTGGCCTTTGCAGTCCCCCTGACTTTCCTCATTCTGTTCTTGTGTTCCTCTCGTTGCTTTCTTGAGGTCTTTCTCTTCTCATACAGACCATGTCTTGCAAAGCCATGTTTGGATTCATATTTCTTTGCACAATCCAAGAAATCATAAATCATGCCAAAGAAAGTTGTCTTGCCACCACCAAAATGAGTTCTGAATCCAGGTACAAAGATGACATCCAGTGTGGTCTTGTACATTTTGGCTAGTTTTTCCCGAATTTCTGTCTTAGGTACGGTACTGTTGCCTTCCCGGGGTGAAGGACATCAATGACCATTTGTTTCCTCTGAAGTCATCGGTTGGTCATGAACTTTCTAGTTCAGATAGTTACCATGTCATTCATGATGGCAGTCTATCCTCAGACAGTCAGGGAGTCTACTCTAAGAGCTTTAAATACATTTTTTTTTCTTTCAATCTTTTCAACAACCCTATGAAATCATTACTGTTATGGCTCTAATTTTGCTGATGAAGAAAACAAAGCTCGGAAAAGTTAAGTGTTTAGTACTGACTTAAACGGCTAGTAAGTAGGGAAGCCAGTATTCCAATCAGGCAGTTTGTTGCCACAGGACTAGTCGTTAACCGTAACATTGCATGAACATGGAATGAGCTTCCTCTCTAGAGAGCAAGTCCTTTAAGACGAGAGGCAGCCACTATGGTACAAGAACTTGAGCTTCACTTGGGATATTGGCAAGTTACCCCATCATGTCCCTGGTGACGCCGAGTTCATATTCCATTATATTAAGCTACTTGGTATCAACATGATTTTCTAGTTTTGAATAGTTCTATAGTTGTATTTTTCATTTGTGTCAGGAAGTTAGTGTGCCATTTAAGAAGCAGAAGGGAGATCAGCTTGTCATGGCAGGTGGCATTCAGATTTCTAAGGAAAACATTTAGATTTGTACACCTGTTCGGAAACTGCCTCTATTTCTTCGTAGAGGCAGGTGGTTAAATACATGCCCTTACCAAGGTTTCTGCTCTAAAGCCAAGAGGCTCATCCCTGAGGCAGATGCTACACAGCACCTGCAGCTTGCCCTACTCTTAAGCAAACCCAATGAGAATGGATGTCAGGTTCAAGCATGGCAATAAGGCCAGAAGCGATTCTGATGCTGAAAGGCCAGGTAGGATTCCATTAAACCAGCCTTCTCTAAGTCACTGGGCCACCTCCAGGGCACTGGCAATTGGCCAGATCTAATACCCACCTCCGCTCTGCCAGAAGTGAGGTGCAAGAAGTACCTATAAAGAAGTGAAATATTAGATTTGTGGAAAGACTGTTCATTTTGTCTCCCTCAACTACTTTTTCCCTTTGCTTCATTTACTATTAGGATACAATTCAAGTTCCATCACATACAATGGAGCTTACTTACAACACAAAGGAAGTGGGTAATGTATTTGGTTCATCATCCAGCCTTGAATCATTAAGAGGAAAGCTTGACCAATCTTCTAGAACCTCTAAAACAGTGACAGCAAACCCCTTTTATTATTCTGAGGGCAAAGAACTAGAATTCTAGGCCTCACGCAAGCTCTTCATATCTTTCTCTCTTTCTACTTCCAGTTCCTCTTAGCCAACTGTCTCCAAAATGCCCTTTCTGGGCACGTGGAAAGAAAGAGGGACATGTCCTTTTGTAGGGTATGAAGCACATTGGCTGTTGTTACTTCTGCAAGTGAAGCTGAGCAGAAAACTACTGGCAAGTCTAAGGCAGAAATGGGGCAGAAAGAAGACTGGAAAACAGCAAGACAAGGAAAGAGAAATGTCCTATCATAGTCTGGTGTGTAATAACAGGGAGCTGGCTGCTCTTTGGACCAATGACTTGCTACCAATTTTATTTATTTAGCAACAGAGTCTCATCACCCAGGCTGGAGTGCAGTGGTGTGATTTCGATTCACTGCAACCTGCATCTCCCAGGCTCAAGCAATCCTCCCACCTCAGCCTCCCAAGTAGCTGAGACTACAGCCACATACCACCACGCCTGGCTAATTTTTTGATGTTCTTGTTGTTGTTATTATTGTTGTTTTTTGGGTGGAGACAGGGTTTTGCCATATTGCCCAGGCTGGTCTCAAACTCCTGGGCTCAAGTGATCTGCCTGCTTCAGCCTCCCAAAATGCTGGAATCACAGGTGTGAACCACCACACCTGGCCTACCAATTTTAAACATAAGAATTGGCACTAAAAACGGTGACCCATTCTTTATATAAAGACTGGCCAGTGACAGTCTCAAAGACACTATTCGAGAATTAACTCTGTGGTAATGGCAAGAAAAGAAAAAAAAAATGAGAAAGAACTAGAAGAAAGAAGAAAAGGTAGAGAGAAGGAGTCTCAATGTATCTCAATCATGACCCTTTCAAAAACAACCAAGTATATCCTTCCCCACCGCAAACACTTCCTGTCATTTCCATCTAATGGAATGTGCAGGGATGGTCTGAAGAGATGCATTCAACAATAAAGGAAGCTGCCGGGTAAGAATATCCAGGCTGTCACCTCTCAAGAGTCATCGTTTTTCTTTTGGTTCTGGGGACACAGCTGGACTGTCAGATACGCTGCCACAGGAAAAGGCATGCACCTACAAGGGAGACAGAGGAAAGGGCTGAAGGGAGAGACAAAGACGGAAGCTGAGAGAAGACCCAGATTTCAGAGTATCTCTATGGGTTCTATAAGTTTAATAAATAATATTCTTGGATTTACTATGGAGTCAGTCCTGCCAAAACCTACACTTGGACTTGAAACCTAATTGAAGAAAAGTCATTCAAAAATACCAAAATGAGTGAAAGCACGACCAAAAAAAATTATTTTAAGAGTAAGAATTAATGGAGCATATTTAGGAGAGAGAGAATTTAGGAAGGGGAGAGAGAGAGAGACAGCTATACACACAATATTAAGAGGTGGTAGAAGTGGACCCTGCTGGTCTGTGGAAAAATGTGGAAGGATGACAGCTCAACATGGCATGAAAGTCACCATGGGGAAAGGAGACTATCCCAGTCCTTCCAAGGTTGAGGGAATTAGGGCCACAAGGAGAAGAAGGGAAGTCAGGAGACTTTAAGGAATTATATGGAGCACAAAGTACAGGTAGAAAAGGTAGGACTATCTCCTCACCATCAACAAGGATTTGAAGGATACAAGATGGCTCAGGATTGAGTGAGTGAATGAATTAGTGGGTGAATGAATGAAAGCCAAAGATGCTGGGCAGAGAGGCTTTAACCTCAGATGAGTGATCAGCAGGAGCAGGGATGAGGATGACCATGGGTAGAAAAGAGGGTGGGAGCTACAGCAGTGACAGGAAAGGAGGTAGCTGTTGGGGAAGTTGCAGAACTTTTCCAAGGTTCTTAGTCTTAGTCCCAAGGTTCTAACTGTAATAATAAATTTGAGGATGTGAAAATCACTGTGAGCTTTAGAGAAGACAATGTATACGAAAGTGTCTGGCAGTGCCTGGGAAATGGTGGGTGCTCAGCAACCTCGGATTAAAACAGAAGTCAAGTCACATGGACCCTGGGAAATGTGCTCTTCACTATTGACCTCTGTGTTTCAATCAAATATTTACTGTATACTATTATGGGTAACATGTGGGAAGTGATCTAATAATGAATCAGATATTGATATTGCTCTTACCCTCCGGGCACATCTGATACAGATTACAGTGTAATGTGGTAGTAAATTCACCTGTTCAGCAGATAATTATTGAGCATCTACTATGTGCCAGGCACCAGTGATACGCCAAGGACAACAGAAAGTCTCTGTGCACATCGAGTTCATGTGGGCGCAAAGGACAATCCAAATCAGACAAATCATTTCAAGTGGGGTTAACTGCAATGGAGAAAGACAAAGGAGAGTAAAGAGGTAGAGAAGAAAGAGGGCACAGGAGACCCTATTTTACTCATGGGATGGTTGGGGAAGACCTGTAGGAGGAGGTGACAATTGAGCAGAGACATGAACGGAGTGAGGGAGTGAGCCGTACGAAGATCCTGAAGAACGACCTTCCAGACAGAGGGAACAGCAAGAGAAAAAGCCTAAGACAACAGAAAGTATGAACATGAGAATGCAGGAAGTGGTGACTGACATAGTGCAGCTGCTGAGATAGCAAAGAAGTCAGTCTTACTTTGTGGTGTCGCTTTATGTATATGGGGGTGCCACATTATGATATAATAGGAAATATAAATTAGGTACAGTGGTATGTGCCTGCAATCCCAGCTATTAGGGAGGCTGAGGTGAGAGGATCACTTGAGCCTAGGAGTTCAAGAACAGTCTGGGCAATATGGTGAGACTCCAGCATAAATAAAAAAAGAAAATAAGATTTAAAAAAAGAAGATAAAAAGAAAAAGAAAAATATGTTTGGTTTCTACCCCAGGTTCCTAAGACAGAACTCCTAAATCTCTTGTAGATACAGGTGACAGGAGAATCTTCTGTTCTAATACTTGGTTGTTGACCCCAATTCTTGACACAGACATCTTAAGTTCCCTGGAATTTCTTGGGTGAAAGGAGCACCTTTTGTCCTAATGAGGCAACCCTTGGTGGACTTTTGAACAATGTCAGGATAGGAGCTGGTTGCCGGGGGAACCAACCATGTGATTAAAGGATTGGAACTTACAGCCTCCTCCCCAACCTAGGAAGGGGAGACAAGTTGAAGGTTGTGTTGATCCCCGATCAATGGCAAATGATGGAATCAATCACGCCTATATAATAAAGCCTCCACAGAAAACCAAAAGGACAGGGTTCAGGGAGCTTCCAGGTAGGTGGACACACGTGAGTGTCAGAGAGGGTGTGGACGCTCTTTCCACATGTCTTGCTCTGCGTGTCTCTTCTGTCTGGCTGTTATCCTTTAAATAAATAACCAGTAAATATAAGTACAGTGTTTCTCTGAGTTCTGCGAGCTGCTCTAGCAAATTAAATTTAAAGAGGGAGTCATCAGAATCCCAGATGTATAGCTGAAGCAACTGGTATCTTAAGAGAGGGATAGTCTGTGGACTGAGTCCTCAACCTGTAGGCTCTGACACTATGTCCCGGTAGATAGTGTCAGAATTGAGTTAAATTATAGAGCATTTCACTGGTGTCTGCTGGAGAACTGGTTGTTAGCAGGAAGCAATCCTCACATATTTTGGTGACCAGAGGTGAAACATTCTGTTTTGAGGTTAAGAGTGAGAGAAACACTTTGGTTTTTTCGATCCTTAATGGGAGGTATAAGGAATCAAGGAAAACTTCCCGGAGGTGCTGCCAATTGAGCTGAACCTGGACAGAAATGCAGCATTTGGTTTCACAGCAAAGGAACACTGAAAACCAAGGCCCAAAGGAGGAAAGCAAAGAGTGTGTGTAGGGAGCAAAGAAGAGTTTGGTTTGGATGAAGAGGACATTTGATAGAGGGAAGTGGTGGCCAATCAGGCAGGAAAAGTGGAGGGAAGTAAGAAAGGGCAGGAGGAAAGAAAGGGCAGGAGGAAAGAAAGGGTAGAAGGAAAGGAAACCTTAATTTTTGAAAATGTATTATCTACTAGGCACCTAGTTAGGTTCTTTGTCTTATTTCATTTAATAAACACAGCTACCCTAAAACATCCCCATTGTAATAGATGGCAAACTGAGGCTAGGAAAGGTTAAACCCCGGAGTGAGTTATGGATGTCAGCCTAAAGAAGTCAGGGTTTGGCCTGGTGCGGTGGCTTACGCCTGTAATCCTAGCACTTTGGGAGGTCAAGGCGGGTGGATCACGAGGTCAGGAGATCAAGACCATCCTGGCTAACACAGTGAAACCCAGTCTCTACCAAAAATACGAAAAAACTAGCTGGGCGTGGTGGCGGGCGCCTGTAGTCCCAGCTACTCGGGAGGCTGAGGCAGAAGAAAGGTGTGAACCCAGGAGGCAGAGCTTGCAGTGAGCCGAGATTGAGCCACTGCACTCCAGCCAGGGTGACAGAGCAAGACGCCATCTCAAAAAAAAGTCAGGTTTTAGGCAGGGGAAATCATTGAAGGTTTGTAAATGCAGGAGGGACACAGGCAGAACAGTACTGCTCTGGGATTAACCTGGCACACAAGGTGGATGGCAGCTCAGGGGTAAGTGACCAGCAAAGACAGTGCAGATCTCCAACCATCACTGTGGGGAAGAACCATCTTATTTCTTTCACATTCCCAAGGCCCTGAGGTACAGTACTAGGTCGATATCAGGTGGCCAGCACTTTTTTAACAGACTACCCAATTTAAAGTTCAGAGCCAAGAACAGCATAGTTCCTGTTCAATCTAATCTTCCTTTTCTTGTGACTAGGGTCATGTACGAGCCAAAGAAGGCCAGGCTAAATTTTTAGCTTTTTCAGACTGTAAGGTAAAGTATCAAGAAGCAGTCACTTACTTGCTCCTCAAACACTAAAAAGTTGCATTTGATTTTTTAAAAAATAAAATAAAACAGAGCATTCCGCTGTAACACTATGATGGAATACTACCCATCGAAAGAAAATAATTGATTACTAGTACACATAACAATATAGATGACTCTCAAAATAAGCTGAGTAAAAGAAGCCAGGCAAATCAGAGAACCTACTGTATGATTCCATGTACACAAAATTCTTGCAAATGCAAACTAATTTGTAGTGACAGAAAGCAGAGTAGTGGGTGCTTAGGGGTGGGGTGGGGGACAGAGAGAGAGGAAGTGATTATAAATGCACACGAGGAACTATTGGGGTTGGTGGATACGTTCATTATCTTGATTATGGTGATGACTTCACAGGTGGGTACATGTGTCAAAACTCATCAAACTCCACTCTTGAAAGCTGGAGAAAAACACAATGGCTCTATAGATCTTAAATAGGGCCCCTAAAATCAGGGGAGACAAGCATTAAAGATTTCCTCAGCTTTTGGGACAGAGATGTCTTGTGAATATTTGTGTTCTTTCAGGACGCAGAGCTGGACCCCATTTTC